GTCAGGGGTGTTTTCATATTCCGAGATCACAGTGCAGCTCATCTAAAGGCGTCAGTGGCAATTTGAGAGCGGCGCATCATATATAAAGATGTCACGAGCCGAGGCCTCCAGCCGGGAGGTTGAAGAGGGAAAAGTGGAACGACAATGAATGCTTGTCGGAGTTTTCTGGAGGCTATCGAATTTAAAGGCCTCCCCTTTCATTTCTTGCTTAGATTAAAATATAAAGAAAAAAAAAAGATGGAGGGAGGGATGGAGAGAGGGCAGGAGGGAAATTGAGACAACAGAGCGTGAGTAAGAGAGGGAGCCTTTTACTGTTAATCTTAACTTTTCAGATTGATCGGCTCACGCTCCCTGTAAATCAGCAGCTGCATGGCAGTCGTCTTCTTATATGATAATCTGGGTGTCGGCGGCAAAAGAGGTGTAACAAAATAGGTGGCAGTGAGGGAAGGCAGTGTACGGTTGTGCAATTGAACCCAGCTGATAGCTTCCCTCGCTCCCTCGGCATCTCTCACATTTTCCTTATACCCTTTTCTCTCCTGGCCCAGGGGAGAAGATGAGCAGGAAGAGTGTTTAATGTTCCCTCTGATGCCCCAACAGAATGAGCTGAGCTCGGACCCGGATACTGGGAAATGAGCTGTATGCCGATGATACTGTGGTTTAGAATAATCTATTGCTGGGAGAAACTATATGTTTCATGTTGTATCAATAAAATAACTGTTGTCACACTGTGCGATTAATTGAAGATAGTTTGATGCAGACTGAAAAGTTTGCACACACCTGATCTGAAAGCTGATGGTTGGATTTACTTTTGATTTGGGGATGCATATAACAATGATTTGCTTTATCAATTGTCTTGATTTCTAAAGTAATTGCTCGACCATTTAATCCGGGTGCATTCAAATCAAGTTCAAAGTGGTCCAGTTTGAGAAAATGTCCTCAAGCAAAGGTCCGGAACATCATAATGCCTAACTTGCGTTATGATTCAGTGTCTTTTAAGTAGTCGCAGAGATCGTTTATTATCTGTGCACTCAGTATGGATGTGTGCTCAGAAGATCATTGCTTTGTCTCAGATCATATGAGACACACTGGTTTTGAAGAGTGAAGATGTAAGAGTTCGTCCATTCACGATTAAAAGCTTTGTTTCTGCTTTCTACTTTTCTCTGTTTAGATCAAACGCCACGTGAAATGACTTCCCTCTGATTTACTTATTTCTCCGATTATCATCCCTCGTCTCGTTTCTCCCCTGTGTGCGCGTATCTCAACTGACTTAAGCTGCAGTGCTTATTGGAATGCACAGATTTCATTGGCTGAGTAGCATCATGTGTAAGGATTTACAACGCATGCAATCGATCTGGGAGTTTTCTAGGCCTCTAAACCAGTGCCATAAAGGCTTTGAAAAGCAGCATGGTTAAAATGTAATAATTCTCAATAATTTATCTGTTTATTGGTCCGAGTCCAGTGAGGAAGGCGGGCCATGGTCCGACCATGAATTACCTTTAGTATAGAAAATGTGAAAAAAAGAATGACGTCACACCCGCCTAAAGCCCAAGGTGACGCATAGAATGTTTTTTAATTCATTATTTACTGTTAGATGCAGTTACAGAAGCGGTAAGCAAAATATTGAGTTATCACCACCTTATAAAGTAGCAAACATATAACATAATCATATATATATATTTGTATATCCAGCAGAAACAAAGCTTTATTACCATTATTATGTTGTCTGTCTGTTAAGTGGTGGGCAAGGTGGTGAACAGTGGATTCATTCGAGCTTTTGCAATGAAAACAGCTTCCTGCGTCTGGAAACCATGCTGATGAGACTGAACCATCACAGTATTGTTATGTCCGTGAATACCAAAACAACGAGCTGAAAGACGCTGAAACGGATTCTTAGAGCTGACGGGATCTGCAGAGTTGGACGACAATTCTCTGTGGCTGTGTCACCGTGGGCGACACCTTTTCCTTCCACGTTGTTATTGGAGCCATTTTTAAATGTAAAATATATTAATAAGTGCAGCTTTAAGTATTTAAATATGGCCGATTTTGTTTCAATGAACTAAAACATGATTGATCTGATGTACCAAATGGTTTGTTACACAACGGACACAATGGAAACTGTTAGAAAAAAGAATACTTGGCAGGTGATTGGTATGAACCATCTGTCAATCAAACTCTTACCGAAGCCAGCTGTGAGAGCAGGCACATCTTTTCCATCGAGAGAAGCCTTCGGTGTTGTTCTTTGCTCTTCTTTCAATAAGGAAATGCTCTCCAGTTCTGATACAATTGATGATACCGCAGCATCGAGGCTAACCTCTTTAAGATCCGCCATTGTTGTTCAGAACAAACTGTCTCCTCTCCGTCTCGTCACTCACTTGTGACTGTTTATTATTTCCACATGAAGAATGGTATGTCATAGTCCCAATATTTAATACAAAACTTGGACTACAAAACTTTTTCTTTTTCTTTTCCTCCCATATTTTGTTTTATATATTTGTCATTTCGTTTTTCCAGCATGGTACAGTTACCTTCATCATCACAGGTTTTTCAATTTTATAACATTTGGAGTTATATGGAGCAGTGTTTATTCTAAACAGACGGACAGACCAACAACCTGGAAGCATATTGAGAAAACTGACTGACATCGTAACCACGCGAAAGATGTTTTTTCCCCCTGCCACACACACACACAGACAAAAACACACTGCAACACACACGTGTAACACAGCTGGCACACACTCTTCCCTCCAGAGCAACAGGGGGATGAGATGGACCAAGAGATACAGTGTCTGTGCAGCACAAAACGACGACGGCGGCAGCAGCAATAAAGCCCTCTCCTTGTTTCCCTTGAGTCTTCTACATTTATTTTTCCTTTATATATTATTCAAGTTCAAATAATTAATTCAGGATATCAAATCAAGATGTAGGAAATCAATCAAGAGGCTTTTTTTTTTATTTTTCAATCTGCCTTTCATTACAGCGAACCCCCGGTCCTGGCTGAGCCTGTAGCGGAGCTGGCCTGGACTTCTATGAGGACAGACTGAAACACTTACGTGGCATCCCGTCCGCCGGAGAAGATGACTGCTCCGCTTCGCACGGCCATGCTGAAGTATTTAGGCTGCATCCGATTAGGTGGTTGGAATTATTTTTGTTTAGCGCTGATATAAAAATGAACCACATGGCAGGCAGGGAATCTAATGGTCTAGTTTGGTAATTACTTTTATTTCCCTTTATTTTCTTTTTTCACCATTTGTACATTTTGGAAAATCAGGTGATGTATTCTGCTGCATCGTTACAAGGTTGACAGAGAACAACAAGATGACCGTCTGCCTTTGAATGCACTCAAACTTTATTGTCCCAACAGAAAAATTTCATCTCACAGACACAAAGGGAAAACAAAACAGAGCACAATACACATCCTCTTTGGGCACACTCCAACTTAAAGAAAACAAAGAAAAAAAAGGATCTGATGCATTTGATGAAGCAGCGTGTAGCCGGAGCAAAGACTAAACAAGAACAGATGTTATTAGAAGAAGCCATCAGACATGTACACATGCGTATTATCGTCTTTATGCCCCCGTCCTCGTCCCCCTGTCTGCTGGCACCGTGGCCCCCGACTTTATGGGAAAACACGCTCGGATCTGTGGGAATCAATAACCCCGGTCAAATGACGCCGAGCCGGCAAGATTCATCTCTTCCCCTTTTAGCCGGATACTTTTAGCACACAGTTGGTGCAGCGATGACTCTCACCATCTCAAAGGCAGGAGCGATAATGTCGTGGTAAAAACGTCACTCAAAGAGCGGTGAATGTGAGGGTGGAGGGTTGAGGACAGGTAGTGAGTCGTGTGTGTGTGTGTGTGTGTGTGTGTGTAGCAGTGCTGGTGGGTGGAGGGGCCAATTTATTGAGGGAAATGTATCTATATTAGAGCCGCCGTGAAGCCCAGATCTCCATCTTGGTGATAATTCGCGGTTGTTAAAGTGACACAGTGTTGGTAGGCTGGTCGAGGCGAGGAATGTGGGGGCCAGACCTGACAATTAGAGCCCTGTATATCACACACACTCTCAAAGGAGAGATGGGAGAGGTCAGGACACACACATGCGGCAAGCACACACACACTCCGGGGACGCAGTTAAACGTGCACACGCGTGGAGGGCCGTGGTACATACTGCAAATGCATGCGTACAGACTGCTTTTGGAGGGAGAGGTCAGAACATATCGTGCATCACGTGCGTGGACGCGAGCGCAAAGGCAGATAACATGTGGCTCTGGTTTGCGAAAGCAGAAGGAACAACGAAACACTTCTCAGGTGTAAGTGCATAATGAGAGTTGATTTGATTTCCCCGCTCGCTGCTCATTTCTAAATCATGAGCCAAAAATGTGACTGATAGGTAAAGAAACCCCTCCACATGTACGTCTGTGCTTTGTGTATTCGTATCGGGCTCATCTGAATCATGTTTTACATCATTAACCAATCACTTCCTCTGACACTTCGCCTCAGAGTAATATGATCTAATTGGACAACAGAGGGGAGGGGGGGGCCCTCTGTACAAGCACATGATAAACAATTCAAGATTATCATAAAGGAAAAACAAAAAAAACTATTTCCATCTCCATTACACTCACAAAACATGCACACGCTCACTGGCTTTATGTTTTTTTCCCCCATAGAGTCTTTTGGGTGCATCACCAGACAACCCGGGGCCGAGGCGAGAAAACAAGAGTCGATACACGTCTGCGATATGAAGGTGAATAATTGTTGTAATTAATGACCCGCAGGTATTAACTGGAGCCATCTGACGGACCTCTTGAGGCCAATTCTGCCAGCGACTCTTATCCAGTATCGTGAGCATCACTCACGCTCTCAAAACAAGCATAGTACGATTCTGTATAGTTTCTGTTGTGGCAAAAACACTTTGTGCGTAATATGTATCTGTGTGTGTGTGTTTGCCCTTGCAAATTCTACCAGCGGTGTGTGTTGTTTTTAGCTCACGTCCGGCCGCCCCCCCTCGCTCCTCTGTGACACACACACACACACACACACACACACACACACACACACACACAAACCTGTCCAAAGTGTCTGAACTTATTTCATGTAAGATACCTGGAGCCATTAGCTTCCTGTGACCTTTTACCACTCTTTCTCTGCCGTCACATTCACATTCCGCCTTGTCTGCGTGCGTGTGTGTGTGAGTGTGTGTGTGTGTGAAAATGTGTTTGACTGCAAAAGAAAATTTAAAAAATGCTGCAAATGTCCACAAGTCCATGCACTCAAATGCCTCACAAAACAACCGCTTGAGGATGTGTGTAGGTATCTACTGTCTGTGTGCGGTGAGTTAAATGTTGTTGTAGGTACATAGCCACACACACACACACACACATACACACACATGCAGACATGTATTTGGCTTTTCCCTTTCTTTTATTTGCTGTAATTGGAAAATAATTCAGGCAACGTCAGGAGGAATCGATAAAGAATTAATGAAAGAAGAGGGGGTCATTAAAGACAATAAAGAGGGAGAGGTTATGATGAAGATGGCATCATGGAGAGACACAGAGGAGACAGGCGGCTCTGCTGCCACTGCTGCATGTGTGTGTGTGTGTGTGTGTGTGTGGGTGTGTGTCTGAGAGAGACGCTATCCATATCGCAGAGTAGGTTGCAGTTTTATCAGCGTTCCGCTGTAAAAAGCGATAAAAGCTAAATTAAACATATCATTGTCATGATATTGTCTTTCTGAAAACTAAAGCAAAATGGAGATCCTGTGGGGCAAAAAAAAACAGATTCTAGTTCAAAGTTACACTTTTCTGTATTTGTTAAACATAATCTCAATAGCACATCTATTAATTAAGACCATGTGCGTAAGACGACTTTTATCGTTACATTCTTTAATAAAAAGGCCGTCCTCTTCCACCACGTCGACAGCCGGTGTCGCAGTCAATCATTCAAAAGGGTAATTATGTGACACTGCGACGCTAAAATACCTACGGTCCCTTAATAGGAGCCGAGCCATCGAGATCCAACCTCAAGCCTCACATCCCGGGCCCCTACCACTCATCCGAGTGCCGTAAAGCTGCCAGAGGAAACAATACTGCCTCTCTCCTCACCGCCGAGGTTAATGGCGAATGGGGCTGTGGCCGCCGGCAATATTGTTGGATGAATGATTATTGATTAGGTAAAGGTTGAGCTAATCATTAGGCTTCATCCATTTTACGGACTCTCTCCGTGACCTTTCTTGCCCGGCCCTCCTGGATCACCAGGATTTCTCCATACAATGATTTTGATCGCCTTCATGGACGAAAATAGGGGAGGGAGGGGAGGAGAGAAGAGGAGGAGGAGGAGAAAAGCGAAGGCAGATTAAGGGAAAGGGGGCTGTGAAGGAGCACTGTAGGAAACAAGGACATATGTGTGTGTGTGTGTGTGTGTGTGTGTGGCGATATAAGACTGGTACGGAAGATGAAGTCACCCCTTAAATACTCCACCTGTTCACCAAATGTGTAGCTTTTTCATATATTTTTTTCTTTTCTTTGTAAATTATTAATAATTACATTTTAAAAACACATCATTGTGTTGATGTGTCAAACTAATTTTATCTCATGGGCCACATACAGCCCAGGTTGATCCCAAGTGGGCCGCACCAGTAAAACCATTGCATTAAAACAGCTGTGATTAACTTCGATCTTTCCCTTTCTTATAATGTGAAGAAGTATCAGTTCAGTCCAATCAGTTCAAAATATGAATGAACAATCCGTTTGATGAACTACATCTACATACTTCATCTTGGTTTATACTTTTATTTGCAAGCTTCCATGAAAGAAAATTTGAAATAAACATTTCTTTGAATTGAATAATTAACTACAGTGCGATTAGACAATATTCCTTTGCAGCACCTGATTCAAATAAACCTGACTTTAAACTCACGTGTACAGATGTGGGGTTTGGGAAGCTGCTACCGTCACAGAAACACATGATATGTATAGATGTAACGTTCAAATCTTTTCAGCGATTACGGGGAAAAAAACTTCACATTCTTTAAACACACAAGCTATTTGAGCTCAACTCCATATTAAATGTTGTTATATGTGGCAAAAAAATGAATTCTTCATCATTTTTACTATGAATGCATGCATTGCTTAATATACAACCAATTGCTTATGAATGACGAGGACCACAATGAACATTAAACATAGCTAGGAATAAGAGTTTTGTTTTCCTTGATGACAGGGTATGGTATAGTTTCATGATGGCAAAAAAACGACAACATATATGTGATATGAAACACAATATACTGTCAGTTATATAATAAAAGGCATGCAACCCCTGAAACATGTCGTAAATATGATTATTCATGTACTGCAGTGTGCAAGAGGTGACAAAACATTATTTTAATAATAATACTTTTATCTGGATAAAAATTATTTCATCCACATAAAACAATAATACATTATTTTATGATGCATATATATGCATATACATTAAACTATTTGTATATATAAAGGTTGGTTAAACCTTAAATTAATGTATCAATCTGTGTGTTACTGGAATGTTTTTTGCTATTATTAATAGTGTTCAAAACAATATATGTAGTAGGCCCAACATTAGTAATCCGTTTCATTTTGAAAACTCAGCTTTTTAAAAACCAACATGGCTCAGTTCAAAATTTTGTTTCAAAACAAAACTCCTGCTCTCTTCTCTGATCAGCATTACAAAAACTCATATTAGTTGAACTCGAACACACATCTCTGTTAATCTACGTTCAAGTTGGAATGCATGATTTAATCTTCTCCTGCAGCTCCTCAATAGCGGCATTCTTGAGTTACAGTGTTTTTTATTGAGCTTAGTGTGTGTGTGCTATAATTATCAGATACACCCGATGTGAAACATCCGCTCTGGAACCCTGACATGGTGACAAGGAAATGCCTTTGCTCCTAACAGCTCTATTTATTGAATTGTAGCGAATATTCCTGGCACGGGGACTCTAACCAAACCCAGACTGGAGCTCACATCTGCACCCAATCAGCACGGGAGAAAACCCCTCCTGCTCCCCCCTCCCGTTCCATTTACTCACAGAGTCCGGCACTGGGAAACACAATGTTTATTTGAAGTAATACTTAAGTCTGAACTACTGCATAGCAGTACGTTAGCATTTTCATTGCTACATGCAGAACATAATTTATTTTTCTCTCTCTCTCTTACTCTTTTTTTTTTGCTGCGATAACTGGAAATCATATGAATGTAAACTTTGTTTTCCTCCAGCTTACTTGTGGTGTGCCATTCAGTTTATTCAATATGACATGAAGCTACTCTAAAAAAACTTAGCATCTTCATGAATACGTGACTCGTGGTGCTTTCACTGCACCATAAAAGGGAGCAGTTACTGCAAACAATGACTGCAACCTCCCTGCACACAAGGGGAATGACGTACCATGTACAGTGCTGCATGTAAAAGACAAACAACACACTGCATATCAAATCTTCACTTTTTTTTATTGACCTTCTTTCCAATAATTTTACAAGACATAGTCAAATTCTATTGCTTTCTTTTTTTCTTTTTTTTATCTGCACATTTGAGTTTGACTTTACAAGCTAACACACACTCCCCCACTTCATTTACAGACAGGCCTGTTGTCCAGCTTGGTAATGAGTGGAGTCCTCTGCAAGCAGGACTTAGCAGATGGGGACCATACAAGTCAGTAATGCAGCATTACGAGGTATGAAGTGTGGCACAAACACAAACCCATGTGCATGTTTATAGACGTGCATTATGTATGGACAGATATGCACCAAGGCCTACACACAAACAGCGACAAGCACACACATGCAGGTACTTTTAAATACGCATTTACAAGACCAGCATGCAGCTCTGCGCCCTCGACCAAAAATAGTTAAAGAGCGCTTATACAGAAAGTGTGGGCAAATGAATAAACAACACATCACGGAATTAAACGTGAATGGAATTATAAGGTGAAAGTCTCGATAATAAATTCGATAGCAAAGTAAAAAACAAGTCCCGTGTACTCCGACATACTTCTTGAGTACCGTTCTCATACTGGTTTCTGCAAATGTATTATTAATCCCTGATTATCCACCTCAGGTTTCTTGCCCAAAAAACTAAATTTTCTATTTGAACATATCATGATAACGTCAAAATGTAACTTTGTTTATACCAAATAGAGCTTGAACGCGTCATAATGCAACTCAATGCAACCTCTGTACATTAGCCGTTAGCTCCGATATTTAGCCCAGCAGGACTTTGCTGCCCGCTGGCTGCTAACTGCTAGTGCCAACTAGCTCTCCTCCTGCAGATTTCAACACAGATTTGTTGTTTACAATGTAGCATTATCGGAGGAATTCTCTATCAACCCTGGGACAACAGGACGTCGTTTGTACCTTCAGTACATGCGGTACTGTATAGTTTTCACAATTTTGGCATTGACTCTGTTCCGAATAATTGGTTCTCGTCACAGTTATGATATGAGAGAGTTAAACACAGACACAGCTGAACATTTTAATTAAATAAATAACAGTAGATGCAAAAATGTCACAAAATAATCTTATCTCCTCATTTCTGCGGATGCTTTCTGTCTTTGCTCTATGTTCTATTTTGTTCCTCACTGTCCCTCTTGTCTGCTGTTCTTCTTCTTGATTTTCTTTTGGACTTTATTTCTGTTCACAAATGTGCATCTGTTGTTCATCACTGTCAGTGTCTGAGCTCTGAATGTAGTCAGTGTTATCATTCGGTGTGTGTGCAGAAGTAGATGAGTTATAATCAGGCATACTTTGTGAGGAGCGCTGTAGAGTGAGCATCGGATCACTCAAATATTCTGCAATTATTTATCTAGAAACTTTATCGTATACGTACTAACAGTTTGGACTTCACTCAACAATACATCGACTTTCACCCAGGACACCGGTGTTAGTGTCCTGTGTAAAACCAAAGGTCAACTTACGTAACCAACGTCGACTTCATTTAAATTATGATTTATTATGGCTTTGACCCAAACCATGATCTTTTCTTTCCCTAAACCTAACAAACTAGTTTTGTGTTTCCTCTGGTGGCGGGACCTACATTTAGCACATTGCGTGTCACCACCATGTAATTTGCTGCTGGAAGGTCGTGGTCATTTCTTGTATTTCTGAGAGATCACATTGGTGATAGGCTGAGCTGGCACGGAGCTGAAAGTACATTGACACAACACTGAGACTTTCTAATTATTTCCGAGACAAAGTGAAGTGATCTCATACTATATCGGTATATTTCTCTTTAGGCTTCTTTGTAGGTGAAAGCCAATTCATCTGCACACTTCTTGTCACACGGCCCTCTCATTGCCAAGAAAAGAAAACCCTTCACATCCTGCCTGCCGTCTGAAAACCGTCACTCTCTCCTTCCCTCGTCCTCTGTCCTATATTCCTTTTGCTCCGCCCCCCCCCCCTCCTTTCTTCACCTATTCTACCCCTGCCGTCTTTCATTTAAATATTTCATCCAGTTGTCTTGCGGCTTCCACGGCTTGCCAAGTGTCATCTAGATCCCAGGGCCCGACACTAAAATGGAGTGCGGCAGTCATATTTTGCTTGTGTGTGGCGTGTGTGAGAGAACGAGCAAGAGACAAGGAAAAGAGGCGGGACGAGAAGGAGACGCGGCTCGGCTCTGGGGTCTGAGACGTCGGGTGGTGATGAGAAGCGAAAAGGTGGAGAAGACATGGGAGTGATAACTAATGTACTTCCTGTGTACTTCCTCCTCTCCCCTGTCAAAGCCCTCCCGCCCGCTGACACCCCCTCTCTCCATCAGCCTAAAACATATAACTGACGTATGGTGTGTGTGAGTGAAACCTGGGTGATCTTGACGTGTGATGTAAAGGTCTTGGTCGGTGCGTGAATGCGAAGATGTACATTTATGTGTCTGTCGGACAAACTGATGGCTGATGTGGAGAGGTGTGTGTGTTTGTGAGAGACTAACTGATGGGTGATGTGCGAGTGAGGTAGTGAGGGTCGACATGGACAGATGGGAGAGACGAGTGAAACTTCTACTTAGCGAAGAGTGATGTGTTCGCTCTGTTTAACAGAATGAGTCTTTGCACCTAAGTGAGTGTGTGTGTGTGTGTGTGTGTGTGTGTGTGTGTGTGTGTGTGTGTGTGTGTGTGTGTGTGTGTGTGCACTATGTCTCATACCCGGTTAGATTGTTGGTTCCGGTTGAGGTAAAAAATGCACTGGCTCATAACGAATGATCTTGCAAGATCTCCACACCGACCTGCACAACAAAGAAGAAGAAGAAGAAGAAGAAGAAGAAGAAGCAGGGAGAGATGAGATTGTGATCCACGAAAGTAGCAATGCGAGTCGTCCGTTCGTCTTCGCGGTAACACCGACTCCCGTTGTAGTTTAGATTGAAGCTGTGAAAACACAACGACAAACACGGTTTGGCTTTTAACACGTCCCCCCCCTGCGTTGTCAGGTTGCTCAGGCCCCTGCCCCCGACATGCACCGCCTCTCGCTACAGCGCCGTAAACCACGATGTGATACGTCACGAGAGGTAAAATCACATCCACTGTACATCATTCACACTTTGCGCGACTCGTCCCAAGTGCAAATGAAAGCCGTGCTTCTGTCGCTACCGGGTGGGTTGACGGGATGAGCAGGCTGTGTTTTCTGAATAGAGAAAAGATGGACATTTAATAGAGTTCTTACAAAAATGCATAGCCGTGGTGGCCACCTGGTCACAGTTACTACCGTAGTACCTATTTATCCATCCAAAATTAGGAGTGTAAAACAGAGTGACATGCACAACTATTTTCTACTTGACCGTTGTGTAATGATGCAAAATGGAGTTAATAGAATTAAAAGAAATGATCTCACATGATGATGAACCCTTGTGCAGCGTTTGCTAAAATTCCCCGGGTCAAACTGACCCACAGAAACAGCATTTACATGTAAATATTAGTGCTGGGCAACGATTAAAATATTTAATCGCAATTAATCTCATGGATTTTTTGCGATTAATCGCGATTCTGAAAACCGGATGTTCGTCTGAAGGAACCGGATGTTGTCTCACGTTAATGTTTGCGCTAACTTTGAAAGTCCTTCGCTCGCTCCCGATCTGTGCCGTTTAATTGCGTTTACCGTGAATTTCAGCATATAGGTGCACTAAAATGTAAGTGTCTGCTGAGTTGACCAAGGAGATCTGAGTGTCTGCTGACTTGACCACAGCGATGTCCAGTAGTCTCCAGGGAGAGCAACAGCTGGTGCAGCTTCTCTCTTTATTTCTGCCCCCCTCGACCAGAAGCGGAAGTCGCCTTTTCACTACGGCAACCCTGAAGGGACATCATATCTCCAATACAAAACGATAAACATGACAGTCTGTTACAATAATAGTAAATTAAAAATACTTATACTTTTTGTCTTTTTTTGTTGTTGTTTTTTAATTATTATTATTATTATTGTTTTTTTTTCCCATCTCAAAAGGCTCAAGGACATACACACACACGTTCACACACACACACACACACACACACACACACACACACACACACACACACACACAACTGACTATAGGATGTTTGCTGGCTTTTATCCCACTGTTCTTGTCATCCTCTTGTTGTTATGTCTATGTATTGTCTCTTGTCTTTCAATAAAAAAAATAAAAAAATAATAATATTAATAATAAATTTAAAAAATGCGTTAACGCGCGATAAAATAATTGTCGGCATTAATTAATTAATGCGTTAACGCGATAATAACGCGTTAACTTGCCCAGCACTAGTAAATATGTATACACTTGCTATTTTCTTTGTGTTGGAAACAATAAATATACAGGACATAAGGATTTGTAAAGGATCTACATCTTCTGGAACACAGACACCAGCGTCGTATCTCTTCCACGAAGACCTCTCTCCTCTGGAGCTTTCTGGGTTTGGTTCCATCCAGATCATAAAAGCGTTGTGTGTCGACACATCCAGTATGTTGTAAAACAGAAAACAACTCTCAAATTGCCCCGGTCAGCACCAGATGAAAGAATTTGACCTGCAACATATAATGTAAAAACAAAATCCAAAACCGAAATCAGCTCTTGTTCTGGTTTCATTGAGCGCCGAGACACCCTGCTGAAGGTAAACATTAGTGTATGTTTATAATGTATTAGCCCAGTGGTTCCCAAGCTAAGGGTCAGGACCCACACAAGGGGTCATACGAAGAATTGAAGGGGTCATGAGATGGTTATTGAAATATGTTTTTACACTATTTTTTCCAGGCTTTCCTCTAACCTGTCCTTTTTTTCTTGTCAAATACTGTGTTTAATCTCTTAAGGCTTGAAAAAAACGTTTCAAATGAAGAGGTCTCATGAGAGAAAATCACTATTCAATTCTACTCAAAGGCATGTAACGAAGGTTGGCATGTAGAACTTTGCATACTTACTTCCTTTTTATTTAGTTTAAAGCACAATTTGCTTACAAACCTTAATTTGACGAAAGATATATTAATCTTATTTTATTATTCTATTATATTATTATTATTATTATTATATATACATATATACATTTTTTTATTATTCCATTCTTTTGTAAAATGGTAATCAGTATAATGATGTCATCATGATAAGTAGAAGACTGTAGAGAAAAATGTGAAGGAGAAGATGTACAGAAAGTAAATATTGAAGTGCCTACACAGAGAAACTAAGAGTAATGGTCCGCTATGTACCGATAGAATAACACAAGAAGAAAGGGATCTTCTGTAAAGTGAGATGCGAGACAGACATAATGTTTAACATCTTTTAAGGTTCTTTTCATTTTCCTCACACACTCACAATAACTTACTTGTGTGTGTTTCTGTGTGCATGGCCCTTCTGTTCCGCTTGCTGGGCTGCTCACTGACCCCCCCACATGTGTGTTTGACCTTTGAACCCTGCGCTTCCCCCTCAGGAGAAGGCCCTCTGCACCTACATCCAAACACACACACACACACACACCGATCCGTCCTTTGAGGGTGCGGATTAAGCCATGCGGGGCCGACTCCGGTCAAGCTTGTGGTCATCTTCGGTAACAGATAAAAGGATATATCACTTCCTCAATCCCTAAAACCGCAAGTGTGTGCTGCTGGAGACACACACATACACACCAGGCACTGAGCTCCTGAGTCCCCCCGCTTAGCACTTGATCCTCTCTCTGGGAGGTTGACACTTCAGAGGGAAAGCCTTCACACACACACAGACACACACACACACACACACACTTGCTCAGACCCTTCACGGAACGTACAGTATATCCATGTGAGAGCCCAAAACCTCGGAGGGGGGCCCGTTCATGGTGATCTGCTGGTCAGCATCTGTTTACTGTCAGGGGATGCTGCTTCCTATCCCCCTGACCGTCAGTCATCGCTTGCGCCGCTGAAAGTCCACATCTTGGCGTTTGAGGTGCAGGGGACACATCGGGACAATGACAGTCCTCCGTGGCACGAAATATCCTCGAGCCTGGACTACTCGCTCTCTGCAAAGGGGCAAAATTGACCTCCCCCCCAAGGTATCTATAGGGCAGATTGTCCGGCAGGGAAACGCTAATTCGGACAGGCGCGGAGCAGACGTGGATGTCAAGTCAGCTAGCATCTTCGCGGTGGCCCAGGGGCACCCGACCGCCAGTTTGTAAGGGAGGCGCCGCATTTAACACAGGAGCCTATCTGTTTGTACAGAGGCGTGGACGGGCATATGGATGTCTGATCGACACAAGGTCAGGGTGAGTTTATTGTAGGAAAGGGAGGGGGGAGTATAGGCAGTGAGGGAAGCATGCACACACTTAGATGTTCTCGTAGTTCAAGTGCATGAATGACTAAAAGCTTATTATAACTGACAGATGTTTCTCTTTTCTGTTTGAGTGAGCCTTCCGGCCATTTTGACATCCCAGTGTTTTTCAGTACTTTGAGTCAGATCTAGCTGAGCGTTTTATGGAAAAAACCTTTGCCTGTTCCTGGACTGACTTCACAGTTTTAGTTTGACCAAGGCTCTCACCAAACCAACTGCCACTAGACCATAGACTGTATGTAAGAAGTGGACGTATTCATTATGACGTCACCCATTGGTTTGTGGACTGCTGTTATGAAGCCTCGAATTCTGCGTTTTCGCCGTCGCCATCTTGGCTATTTTGCAACTGATGAACGGAAGTTACCATATTTGGAATGCTGAGGAGGGACGTAGAGACGGCGTACACAGCTCTGGTAGTGGCAATACTCTGTCAATCAGAGTAAGCCCGCCCTAAAGCATACCCTGCTTTATGGTCTATTTTACTAACAAGGGACCATCATTACTAAATGAACATCATGTTGTATTGAAGAAGACTTGAAACTAGAGACTGAGACCTTAAACTCATGTTTACAATGTTTAAATTAAGTGAGAACTAGAGTCATTTTCTCATCGACTTCTATACTATCAGACTTCTTTTTGCAACCAGAGGAGTCGCCCCCTGCTGGACAGTCGAGTTAATGCAAGTTTTAAGATTGGCTTCACTCGGCAGAACCAGAGGCTGCCATCTGCATTAGACTCTGTGAGACGCAGGATGTAAGTACCAGCTCTCGTACTGCATGTGTAGAACAACTGCAAACATGGCAAAGTATATCAAAGAGAGAGTGAGAGACTTTTTGAGTTCATAATTGTAATTGCACATTGGTTTAAATACTTTACCATCCCTACATAATTTCTACTGTCATTGTACAATATATATACAAGATGGTATATTCTCATGAAACGTAAAATAATAGACAGCATCAACACAATAAGTAAATACCTCTTGATTTTTCAAGTATATATATATATATATATATATATATATGTGTATATATATATATATGTGTATGTATGTATATATATATATATATATATATATATGTATGTATATATATATATATGTATGTATATATA